AAAGTAAGGGAATTGCACGAACAAATTGCATTGAGTAAAGAATATGTTAGATATTTTATCAGAACCGGGACAAGTTTTGTATGAAATATTGTTAAGTTCAGTAAAAACATCATCTAATCACTATTGTAAGTACACAAGAATTTAAATCCACAAATAATGAATTACTTTGATTAATTAAGTTTCCCTGAATAGAAGATCAATTGTTTGACTAAACACTAGAGAAATAATGCGCGAAACAATCAGCAATTTGATTTTTTTATGTGGGGGGAAACCATGCAACTAAGGGTTAAAATTCAAAAATACTTTCTTTGGCCAGTGTTTTATCTATATCTTTGGGCTCCCCTTAACATAATGTTTTCCGAAGTTCCGATTTTAATCCAAAAACGATCCCTATAATATATATATATATCGTCGGCCTCTTCTGTATATTATATATATTATTATGATTCATTTTTCACGACCCTCTCGCAGTGTCCATAAATCACAATATAACTCCCCCCAGCCGTTTACAACGGTCCGAAAAATACACACAGTAGCGGCAAAACAAAACGAGAAAACACTTCACGACTTAAATATATCTTCCTCGTCCCGTCCCACACATAAACCTATTGCCGGGCGTCGTACCCTTAGGTAATTTCCAGTTATAAATTTAATATATTGTACTACAATACATATTACATATTATTATTATATGTACTGTATACTATGTATATATATTTGTTATCGTTTCCACAGCGGCAGATTCGTACCCGCCGCTAGTCCTAAAAAAAAAAAAAAAAAAAACCACCACCATAAAACCAACCGACCATCAAGCTGTATATTTATATTATAAGTGCACAGTGCACATAAGATGAACGGCATAGTCCGCCGAACGACAGGAACAAATGTCTCGGAAAATACAAGTGGCTCGTCATTAACATACATTATGCGAGCGTTTCTAGGGAGAGCTCAATGTAGCGGAATTTTTTATTTTTTTTATATTTTCCCTAAACCCGGCAACAGTTTTTACCCGTCCACGCCGCTTTGCCAACCATACGCACATACACCAGCCCAAACAACGGAGAAGCTCTGAAAAAAAAATCAAATATATAATATATACATATTATAATGTATAAAAATAAATGAAATCGCGCTTATTACCCGTGACAAATTGTATTGAGTTTTCTGCCCCTCTGTTCCTTCGGCCGCCGCCGCTCCTCCTCTCCGGCTTAATAACCTTGTACAAGCGTTATGTATAATAACATGATAACAACTGAGGTAACGCAGTGGAGGAGTTTAATTTTTTTTTTTTTTTTTATGTTCAATCTCTATCCTCGTTTACCCTTTATTTGCCGCCAACCCTCAGGAGTGTTGTTGTTATCGATGCTCGTCGAGTAGTCGGTCGACAAACGGCTATTATAATATATGTAAATGTAATACAACAATATTATGTCCTTTTCCCTTGTTATTATTATTATGGGAAATCGGATTTGAGGCTTAACTCGCACGCTATACAATATAAAGACATATTCGATTTACTGCCAAACGACCTAGGGCAATTATTCGTGTGTTATCTATAAGGCGCGGTCGGAAAGTTCCGTGTCGCTGTTTACCAATAATCACTCTATACACTATTCCATCTCACTAATTATTTATCAATGTTCAACAGTAACAATTTCTATATACCTACATTATTTTTCCGACCTCACAAAAAATCCCGTAACACGATATTTGAATAACTCCGTGTATAGTTCAAAATGTATATATATATATATGTTTGCTATTTTGTTTACAATGTATGTTTAATAAACAAACAATATGATTGATTATAACAATATACAACTAATTGTGGTGATCCTCGCCCTGTATTTGACAAGCCAACGTATAGCACTCGAGTAATATTATTTTGAGAATAATTTTTTTTTTACAATCGTCTTGGCACAATACGAAGCAAGGCGAGGAAAGCCTTGTAAACTTTGGCGTGTAAAATTATATTTCTCATATTCATTGCCGGAGTAGGCGCGTTAATCGAATTTCCGCCCTGGCCGGCAGCTCTGGTGAACGCGTATAAACCACTTGGCGTCGGCGGGGTTTAATTGTTTTATTTCGAGGGATGTATCGCGCAATTTACTTTTGTATGATGATTTTGACGAGATTTTTGAACGTCCACCGACCTATCCGAGAGGTATGGGCTTTTTTAATTACAAAACGAATCAATCAAGCGATGACGTGTACACGCGCTGGCATTTTTCAACTAGGCCCGGCCAACATTTCAGCGCCAGATATTATTAATAAATATTATAGACGGTTTGCGTTGTATATTATGTTGAATGAGAGTGTTGATTGCACGGCCAGCAGTGCATCTAACCGGAAACCTACAATACTTGTGATAATGTTTTGCTTGCAACACCTACACCCGCTCTGTACCGTGTAGCGTGCGTCTTCTGTGTCATATCCTCCCTTCGTTATCTCTCCGGTATAATATTTTCCCCTATCCCCTCGCCTCGCCTCACTTCCACTTACTTCCTACCCCGCCGGTTCGGTGTCATGTTTATTGACAAGCCAATTTCCACCCTCGTCGCCGCCGCCGCCGTCGTCGTTCGGATCTCACTCAAGTCCCTCTTTGGCTGTATATATATATATATATATATACCGTATTATATGTGTCCCGCCGGGTTTCCCTGTATGGCGCACTGCAATTCCTAATATTTGGTGTGAACATGACACAGCACGCCGTGAAATCACATTACCTCGGCGTTTCTTTTGAATGGCCGAATTTTTTTTTTAGATAATATATATATTTCTTTTTTTTTTTTTACCATTCCCCGCTTGCCAGCTCCTACGGCTTGGGTCGCCGAACCGTGCCTTTTCACTCTTTATTAAATCAACAACCCACTCGGTGCGCGACTCCGGCCGTTTTCATCCAGCCAATGTGACACGACTGCTGATTTTCCGTTATTACACGCTTTTGTGTCGCGCTCGCCGTTTTGTCTCCTTACTTTCTTTTTATACATTTTTTGTTTTTTCACGCTACTCGGATTCGCGAGAATCACTCAAAAGCCGTTTTTGCAAGAGGCCGATCCCACGGAGAAAGTCCACACGAACACCGGCACTGGAATACATAGTATTGGCAAACATAGTAACAATAGTATAAAATACATCAATCGTTAATGTTGTCTAAATATTTAGCTTAGGCGGGCGGACTTTACCACCCGTTAAACGGCCGTATAGTAACACAAAAGGCATTGCAACGTGTAGAATACCTCACGTGCTTTGAGATGACTAACCTAGGGCAAAGAGATTAGAAACGTTAAAGCTATATTGAAAAAGATATATCCAAGCAATATGCGGAAAGGATGGGAACTGCTAGAAGTAACTTGTTTTAAAGTATACTTCTATTACTTGCAAACAACTTTTAACTTGCACTCGTCATAACAGATTTATATATTATCTGTTGGCTCACACGCCCAAACTTTTAATCGTCCCAACTTTTAGGACTGACCAAATGTAGGTAACAAGTTGGAGTTGTGTTTAACAACATCAAGTCATTCATACAATGTCAAATTACAGAAAAACTAATATGTTCTGAAAACATTATTATGGTAATGTACTCACAATAGTAGGTATAGTAGTAAGCGCGTCGTTAAAACAAAAATTGCCTGTATTGCCTTTATTTGTTAGTTATTTCGATTTGAAAAGTTTTGTCTTGGTCGTTTTCAACTTGTTGTATTTGTTCAGTTCAGTTAAAATTTGGCGTGCCCAGGTTTTTAAGGACAATAAATGGGGAGTTTGTTTTTTACGGTGATATTGAATTGAGTCCCACGAATATTTGTGGGTTGTCGGAATTGAGTCCAACAAATTTTTTTTTGGTTGTTTGAGTTGAGTCCCTTCAGCCTATTAGCGTTATCGAGGAGACACCACGTGGAGGTTGGCTGATTAGTCTCCCAAAAATGTGTGTGCTTGCTTACAAATGCTTTGCTTGTTTATAAATGGTCAAAAAAAAACTTTCAATTTTAATAATTTTTAATAATAATTAAAATAATGTCTGAGTTTAAATAGTTGCTGGTAAAAATTTAAATGAAACAGATTTTAAGTAGTCAAATCTGCTATTTTTTTTTATTTTGATATTTGATAATCTGCTCCCGTAAAAATTGTTCTTTTTCCAATGTTTTTTTTACATGTTTTTGTTGTTGCATTGCTTCGTAATTGAATATAGATATCTGACTGTATGCCTAGAAGAGTGACAACAAGAATACAAATATTCGGATGTCCTGAGTGAAACAATGCATTTAATTTTGCATGAAAACTTTCACAACTAGTTAGTTATCCGATTAGTGCTTGCTGAAAAATCACACCAAATTTTTGGGGGGAAACTGTCCAACCTCATTGTTTATTTGGGACTCAAAATTCAATATAGTCCGTGCAAATTCCCTCCTAATAATAGCAAAGGAGACTATGCTTACGATCTTATCTACGTAATCAATTCAAACATATTAAGATAAGAAACGGGACTCAATTCAAACAACTAAAAGTAGGATGCACTCAATTCAATGTTATCCGTTTTTTAAACACCTAAAAAGTTTTTATCAAGACCACCCTAGCGCATTATATAATAGTTGTGGGGCGAAATCTCTTGTTTAATAATTGATTGTAATAACACAAACTGTTTTTTTCACTTATATACTTCACTTACGCGGCTTTTTTTTTTTAGTAAACTGAGCTAAGTAAATACTCGATTTGGTCTCTCGAACGGCTCTAGTGTGGTTGACCAACTAAGTGCATTGTTTAGATTTACCTTATTGTTGTAGTAGATAAAAAAAAAAAAGGTTTTGCATTGATTTTTTCAACAATATAGAACATTTATTTCATAATATATATTCGTATTATTGTAAATAATCATCGTTAATCTTACTATAATTTAGTTATATTATATTTATACACAAACATGGTCGCGTCTGGACTTAAAACACTGTACCAATAATAATAGGTTACATTGTAAGTAAAAATGTAATGCTATCACGATAATATACAATAATACAATATAATAATGTACACGAAATAAAAATCAAATAGGTATTCAATAATAAATATAATAATCATAATATAGAGTATGGACAAATAATAAATACATAGTTTATTATAATCATCACACACAAGTTCGGTGTTATGGATATAATATTATATTATGACTTGACCGAGACTTTTGTAGACACAATATAATGTTACAATCGTTGCCAGATAACTTGGTACCGGCGGCGTTTATCAGTAATAGTATCCCAAACTAGTTTTTAATCATTTTTTTAAACTAATGAAATCTGTTCAATAAAATAATGTAGAATATTAGCATTTAAATGTTTCCTAACAATATTGTTGGTTTGTTGATCAATTTGGTAAATCCAAGAACCCACTTACACTAGTACTAAGCGTTACTCTGCCGCTGCCGTGCCAAGTTATCTGGCAACGACTGTATAATTTAGTAGTCGTATATTGTATTATCGGTAAAATATCACAAATGAGCTAACAATATAATAACACTGAACCGAATACATGGAACGCGCATTACACCTGAAACTTGTCCTACCCTATGATGCAGCCGTATTGAGTATGTTGCCCATAAAACAAACAATTCGTATCACATTACTGACAGAGAACTATAATAATCAGGTATTAGGTAAAATCAAAAAATTAAACTGTAAAATAAAATAAATCAAATAAAAAGATTGATAGTGATTAAAATATTTGTTATCTCTAAGGTTTGTGATAAAAATACATTTTTCCATGCAAATTCATAGCAGTATAACGTTATCAGACTCAAAATGGTAGCGTCCGATGACAAAGAGACACTTCTAAATACTTTAATCGTGCACAATGCGCGTTCCATGTATATTTAGTCCAGTCAATAATAATAATTGTACCTAACAATAATAATAATAACTGACTCAACATGTCGGTTTTAACCGAAAAATAGGTCAGTACGGTCTCCAGACGTCCACTTGTTTTGCGGTCGTCTTCGGCGAAACAGAGTCGGTGGCCGCGGCCGTGACGGGCGACGCGGCCTGTGTGTCGTCGGCCCGAGGCGACAACGCCTTCTGCGGCGACATCTTCTCCGCACACGTTTCGTCTTCGTCGTTGTTGTTGTTGTTGTTGTTGTGTTGAGCGGCAGCGGCGGCCGCGGCCACCGCGGCCGCCGTCGACTCGTTGTCAAATATCATCGTGTTGCGCAAATGGCTCAAATACGGGTTGGGGTACAGCTGCGAGTACAGCCACTGCGTGTGCGGCTGCAACAGCGGCGCGTTCAAGAACAGGCTGAACAGCGACGGCGCCAGCGGCACCGGTTGCGTGACGGCCGACGGCGGCGGCGGCGGCGGTGGTGGTGGTGGTGGCCGCTGTTCCGGAGGCGTCGCGTCCGCCGACTCGACGGCCTCTTGTTTCTTGTTGACGTGCGATGGCGGCGTCGGCGGCGGCGGTGGCGTGACGTTGTCCGTGATTGTCTCGTCGCCGCTCTTGGCCGCCGGTAACGGATCCGGCCTGCTGCTGGCGTGTCGCCTGGGATGTCGTTTGTGTCCAGACACGGTGGTCAGAAGTCCCCTGTGACCTCTGAGACCTGTCCTGTGGCTTCTGGTGCCGCTCTCCGCACTTACGTTCACGCTGATCGGGCCCAAAGGTTCGGCTCGGTTTGGTTCTATTAAAACAAAGTAACGGCACAATGTTAAATTTATAGCTGTACAAAAATAGTTAGTTTATTGTAAACGCGGCTGTTAATAAGAAATAAATGTTAATCGTAATTTTGTTTTTGTAAGACAACTGCTCGAACTACTGTAATGTGCAAGACCGAAATATGAACATAATAATATGAATTATGGTTTACAGGCGCATCGTGTATGCAAAACGGGTACACAAATGCGTTTGGATTTGAAATTGTTGTTTTACTACTAAAGACGCCGTACTGTAGCAGCATTATAACTCGCTTTGTCGGAACAAATCGTTGTAACGATAAGCCATTTTTATATCTGTGTGCGGTTCATACACTATAGTATCGTACGATACAAATTGTGTTGTTTAATCTCATCACGGCGCTAGACCGCACGGTTCCGGATGTCTGCATAGTATTAAGTCACCGGGGTTTTGCTCATAAACCCTACAGCCGTTGTTTCGTGCGACGATTTATATCACAGCACTGCAATTCAGTGCAGACAAACATATTTACGGCGATTAAACCCCATTTTTTTTTTTTTTTTTGTTGCATATTATTACGTACAAACTATGGTTAAAACGTCACGCATTTCAACAATAATTACCCGCGTTTCCGCCGTTAATCGACCGCTGCTGGGGAATCCCTTCGGCGTTGGTTGTGGCGGTGTTGGCGGTTCCGTTGTACGGGAAAATGTTGGCAAAGTTCGAGTGTTGAAACGCCGGCGGACCGCAGTTGTTGGCCACATAAGGCGGGTATGCGGTCGACGGCAAAGCCCTGGAGAAGGACGTACCCCACGAATGAGCGAGTCCTGCGGGCGTAAAAAACAAACACACACACACACACAAAATTAATTACCTCTTGTTTTTTTTTTTAACCCAAATACACAATATAACTCGAGATTCTGGTGGCGAAAAGGACCATTTTTACTACAGTTCCGCCGCCTCTACGATTGTTAATTTACGAACAAATAACCAATGACAATGTTGCTGCACGACTCGCCCCAAAATGACACTACTAAGACGATACATTCAATAAGTGGCTTCGAAGAATTTTGTAAAAACACCGTAAGGAAATTAACAAACTTCAGAGTGGAAGGTGAAAAGTTACAAAAGTGAGATTAGCTCTTCTTCACCCAAACGAAAAATATACGGTTAGGTTATAATAGCTAATTAAAATAGTACTGTTTGACGTTCAAACTTTTCCTTGTACAATTATTACCCTATAAAATATCAATTAAATAAACCAAAGTATTATAATTTTAAAACTTTCGAACAACCATTTGATTATAATATACAGGGTGATCAATTTATTGTACTACTCTCATTTTCTCTTAAAATAATAATCGAAATTTTGTAGTTTTCTTCTTGAGATACTTTAGTTTATGTTATTTTCCAATATTAGACAATATTCCAATTTTTATATTTTCCCAGAGCTCTATTGACTTTAAAAACTCAAATAGTAACGTATACATAAAATTAACTTTCTAGTTTAACTGTTTAAGAATAACTGAATGCTGAAAATACCGGCTGGCCGATAACCAGTTTTGGATAATTACTTTTAAAGTTATTAAAATTTTAAAGTAATTATTTAAAATTGGTTTTTGAAAATTCGAAATATTCAGCAAATTATTCCTAATTTAAAAAGTTAATTAAATGTTATGAATTATTTGTTTTTCTAAACACCTTTTTTATTATAAAATAGCAATGTGTTACTTACAATGGTGTGCAATATTGAAATGTGCATACCGCTACGATAGAGCGGATAAAAACAACGACTAAAGAAATAATTTGTTTGGACAACAATGGTCAGGAAATTGAAAAGAAAACGCACCGGAAACAGTGAAAGATAGTTGTCGACTATTTGGATTGATACAATACAATGTTTACATTTTCTGCATTCAAAAACTAATAACGTAATAACAACGCTTGACGGGTTTTAATATCCAAACCGAAAGCACGCGCGAGACTTCCACAGTACTAACATTTTTGTTTGGATAAACTTTATGATGAGTGGATTTTTTTTTTATTAAAAATTCTTCGACAAATACCAATGAAAAGACGACGGTAAAATCTAATCGTTGACTGTCTTAATGACACAATGAGTCTAATTTCTCATTTGAATGTCCCTTGGCGGCCGGCGTCTTTACACGTTACATTTAAGATGTTCAAAACCCATTGTACGTGCCACTCGGCGACTAATTACAAAACCTTTTACTGTTCGTGGCACTTCGTCGTCGCCCGACCTTTGAGGTGTTTCCAATGTGTTAATTGAATCTTGCCGCTATCAGTCACGAAAAGGGTTGGCAGGCACTTATTAGTAAAAGGTCGCCGGTGGGGCGTTAAGACGGTGGCAGGCAGCTCTGCTATAATAATATATTATTATATTGTATACATAGCTCATACCGCTCGCCGAGAAAGAGATGGTATTTAAACTGAAGAGTGTGTAATATTATACATATAGAGCCGGCGGAGGGCGGACGGTTTAACTTTTACAAGCTCCAACACACATAAAAAGGGTCGGTCGGTTGTGCGAAAATGCCGGTGGAAGAGAGAGAGGGGCATATGCGGCAAAACCCTTTATTATGTCGACAGCGGCGCACCTTTTGTGTTAAATCGCCGACGAGGGCTGTGTGCTTCCGCTAATTACATATGTCGCCAACGCAATATATATATGTGACCATAATATTATGATTTTGAAATAACAATATATTCGTCTGTGCATAATAAATTATTATCGTTAGGACAAGGTCAAAATTGGCCTATGAACGCCGTCGATGCCTTGAAACATAAGTTACAGTAAATGACATTGATTTAAATTCAATGAACCGCTGGACTTTGTATTGACATAATATTTTGGCCACAGGAAAGCCAGCTTGTATAGTATAGTTGACAAACAACGTGGCCACGTGCAAAAAAATCACCTACAACATAGCTAAGAGGAGGTATAGTAGGCAAGGTGGATAAATGAGAAGCCCGTTGGATTTATATTTGCGTATTGCACGACACGTCTTTCGAACGGGGTATTGTTTTGCGTGCCGGCAACGCGTCGCCGACCGGCCGGGCGCGGCGACTGCGGCGTAAACATATCACGTTGTTGTGTTGCGCGAAAGAGTTGAGCGGAAAAGAGCGCTTCTGGCGGCGGCGGCGGCGGCGGCGGCTGAAAAGAACGAGAAGTAGAAGAGTCGAAAAGAAAATGCGCGAGAAAGCTCTCCGGAGAGGACGGGCCGAATTGCGGCGGCGGTGGCGGTGACGTCACCGGTCGGTGGGTTGGTTCCTCTGGCTTGCGGCACACCCCATTGGCTCTCCGCAAAGCACACCGCACCGTCTAACCGACGACGACGACGACACCGACACCGACACCGCCAAACCGACGGCGCTGCGGACGCGTTAACCTACATTCCCTTTAAACGCCGCCGACGCCGCCGCCGCCGCCACCGCCACCGCCACCGCCGCAGCACTACCGCCGCGGCGGCCGCCCGTCCCGCCCGCCCCGGCCGCCAAACGTTTCCGCCGTGCGGCGCGCGACAACTTTTCACTGGCAAAACAACGACGGCAGCGCAAAATAAGTTGCCACCGCCGACGCCGCGTTATTTGATGAAATCTCGTTTTACGCTTCGTCTACTTTTAACGCGATTTATTAATCATTTTCTTTGTTTGGCACCGACGAAAAACACTTCACCTCGTTATCTTGCTCGTGCCGTCATTTTATTAGTATTTAATTGCTGAGAATTTTATTTTTTTTTTTAGCCAACACCCACTTATACCGTGATTCACCACACGTGGGATTGCGAGCCAGAGGGTTTTAAGGGGTTTTATATAGGCAATATTAGCGAAAAATTTTTTATTTAAAAAAATGTCTACCGTGTAAATTTATTTTTGATATAAATGTTTGTACGAGTTAAAGTTTGTATTGTGTTTGACGCATACAACTTTTCCATCCAGTAGAAGGTGGTAAAACAAATTGCTGTGACAACGCCGTGAGACTTGACTTGTACAAATTTCAATTTTTTTACCTCTCTACTGGGTCATGTTGAAAATCTAATTATTTCATTTAAAACAAATCCGCTTCTTTTGTAATTAAATAAATTGAATTTGAAAGTGTTTCAATATTAAAACAGAATTTTTTTAACAATATGTTTCCAACATAAACCTTGTAGAGTGGCTAAAAAAAACACACACAAGTTCAATTCTTTACGGAATTAAAATCGGACCATCTAAGTAGTCAACATTTGTTTAGGTTTTTCCAAATGAATATTGTCTTATTGCTGGGGGTCATTCTGAAAGTTTATCCGAAACGTCACGACGGATGTCACACTCAACAAACAAATCGTCGTTTGGGAAACGTTTGTGTTTAAGACATATCCATGTGCCGTATCCGTGTATAGCGGGGATACTTATGACTTTTTGGTCTAAAACGTCAAAAACGACAGCTTTCAGTCGCCTTAAGTGTAAAACTAGCAATTGCTACTTTGTAAGTAGTCGACCAAAAGTTAGAACAATCGTGCAAACATTTACATGTCATGAAGTTTTTGTTTTTCAAATCGGTTAATAACTGAAATAATGTGAAAACGGCCTCTATAACGAATTAATAATAAAGTTAAAAATAATTTCTCAACAAAGTCTCTTCAATACTGTACTAATAAGGTAGGAACACTGAAGTTTTTTTTGTTTAAGAAAATTGTCTATACCGAACGCCTTAAAACTTGAAAATTATGGCAAGTGGATTTCTTAAGGAGTAATGTATAGGCAATTTTCCATAATATTATTTAAACTACGTCTTATCGGTACAGTTATAAGCATTCATTAAATAAATGATTTTTTTTTTTCAAAAAGCAGCTTTTCACTTTTTAAGTACGCAGTTTACCTTTAGGCAACCGAATGTTAACCTTTGCTTTTTCCTTCAACAATGTTATGTGTGGCGATCCCTTAAACTAAAATCAGTAAACTCTTATAATTAACTTGACCGATACACTTTTCTGAACGTTCACAGAAAAAAAGTACATCAATTTATGTCAACACTGTATCTACATTTTGACATGGGCGATTTTCGATAAATTCATAAAGAAATTCAGTTGTAAAATCATAAAAATAGTTGAACTGGATCTATGCATTCTTTGGATAAATCGCATTTCGAAAATATCATCTTTATTTTTTTTTTAAATAGTTAAACACTATTACGATTATTATATAGAAACAGATAACGCTTCTTCCACGATTTTACCGCAGTTGGATAAAAACAAAATAATAAACTTTTCATTATTATATTTTTTATGAAAACAAAATATTAGTATTATTTTAAAACAGCTGAAGTTCGAAATGAAACAATTTTCCCGTTATCGTGGAACAACAATAACATTAATGAAAAATATGTATGTATGTTATAGCATATTTTTATCACAATCAGTTTTAATAAAATAAAAAAACCAATAAAAGTTTTTTTCTAAATGCATGAATACGTGTGACCAATATAATATTCCCATCGTTCAATTTGGAAAACGAAAAAAAAAAGTCATGTACACCATATTGTTAGCAAATGTTATGTGTCAATTAAAACTTTTGCCCCTCTTTTTGTGGCCCCTCGGGTATTTTTTCAACTCATTTAAAAGTGAACAAGTTATCGGGTAGACCGAAAAAATAAGAATTGTGAAAAATTGATATTTTATTGGAAACTATACATATAAAAGAAAAAACCTGACCATTAAAACTGAATAAAAATAAAATATTATCATTATGAGATTTGGGAATTCTAAATTAGGATTATTTTTTTTTCTGAATAACATTAAATTTGTGTATGCTTGTTTTAGTATTT